TTCTCTCCCAGTTTAGCTTCTTGGTGGATCTCCCTGTCTTTTCATATAAAGGACATCCTTTGTCCTTTAATTTGTTTTTAAAAATTATCTAGTAGGGTAGGAAGGGTACACTTCCAAACAGGTGTTTCACTTGTCATAGTGAATAGCATATTGACTGTATGTCTTTTCAGTTCAGAAAACTTCAGTGTTGCACTAATTTGTTAGAGACTCCAGACCCACTATAGAAGGAACTCAACTAGGTTTCTTCTCTCTCTCCTGTGTTCCCAAGAAGTTTCTACCATGTGAAGACCTTTAAAGTGGAATGAAAGCTTTGGCTGCTGTCTGTAACTCTAGTTATGCTGGTCTAAATTTGCAGAAACATGTCAAGATACATTTAACTGTGTGTGCTGGGTGGGCTGTGTGGGATGCGTGTTTCTCACAGCATTGGTGTTGTGCTTCACTGCAGATTGGGCTTTCAAGAGAATCAATGGGAATTCTTAGTCATTTTTGAAGATGAAAGGCCACAGAGCTGAATTACCCTCCTAGACAGTGCTGTATCACAGTCTGAGAACATTCCTGATGCAGTTGTTCAGTAGCCAAAGAACTATCAGTGAGGAGAGATCTGTGGTGATTGGCTGGAAGTTTTTGGTTTTTAAATACTCTTAAGATATTTTCCAACCATGGATAAATGCTGGATAAATACATAAATATATGTATTCATATATATTCATAAGATATGCAATACATCATCTCTGTACAGAACACAGTCTCATCAGTGATTGTCACGTTCATCAGATACTCTTGTTGAACACTCATTTGTCTCTATAACTCAAATGGGACATAGGCATGATTGAACTGAGATTTGAGTTGTTAGGTTTTGTGTCAAAGTGCACATTAAGGAATCTGTGAATTGATACTGGCTCATTGTCTGACCCAAATTCTCAAAGATGCTAAAATACCCATGGTGACTGGATGCCTAGAACCACTAAGAATCTGCACTGGGGGGTCTTGTTTAATCTCTAGTATGTGACTGTTTTATCTAGCACAAAATTCTCTTCGTCTTTAACTTTTATGTGCTTTGTGAAATATGTGAATAGAACTGTACTAAGAACTGCTAAGAGAATTTACACAGTGGCATAGTTGAAGATCAACATCTTTGTTAGGGCAGTGTGTTTAGTGGAGGGGGTGAATGAACCCATCTGCATTGGGGTATATGGTGGGTGTGTCCCTGCAGGCACACTGGGATTGTTTTCTTGGTAAAGCTTTGCCTCGCAGCACTCTTGGTAATTGTTATGTTTCAATGGAGAGAAAAGTAAAAACATAAATTTGTGACCCCCAGTGTTTAAAAACCATCTGTTCAGTAGAAAAGAAAGGTTTTCTTAGGTTATATGTATTGTGGTCAATAAATTATTGATAAGGGAGTACAATTTAATTATTACACTGTATGAGATAAATATATCTGATAAATTACCCCAATGCATAGTTTAGATTGATCTATGGCTGGGGCTTGACAAAAAGATGTAAATAAAAAAAAAAAAGACATTATTCTATTAATTTACTCCTGTTGGCTTTCTTTTATTTTCTTTTTAATCTAGACTATTGAAGAGCCTGTTAAACTTCCAAATTAATGAATATTCTTTTGGGAACTAAATTGGTCTTCTTTTCAGGTTGAATAATGGAAGCATGGCTCTTATTGTTGTACAAAATACTTCTCGAACAGAGTTTATAAAGCATCTGAAAAGATACACCAGCATAAAAAATCAGGTACTGGTAATTTCTTTCTGGTGATTATAAAAAGAACAGTTAATCACGAAAGTAGACAAGCTGCAAGAGTTAATGTTAGCATCCTCATAAGGAGACTTAGCTTCCTGTCAGAATACATTAGCCCCCTTTTTATCTGATGTTTTTTTTCTTTTTTTTTTAAATCACTAGACTAATACAGATTAGCCTATTTCAGTCCATCTGTTGTGGTTTAAATTGTATTTGTGTTGTACCACAGTTTTATGGGTGTAAAGCCCTTCCACCACAATAAGGAAATCCATGCTGTGTCAGAATTTTGTGTAGTACAGAGATCAAGAACACAGACTAGGGGGCCATCATGCAACTCTGTCAGAAATTGGTCAAGTTCATAATTTCAAAGTTCATAATTTCAGCAGATCACTGAATGCTGTGCTGGTAGCAGTGAATTATGGGCATTCATTTTTCAGCAGGTATGCATTCCATCTAGTTATGAACGTTTGCAGAACTGCATTTCAGGATTGTGGTCATTATTTTGTCTTTGAAGAGAAGAATGAAGCATCCAAACACAGATCTTATTGCTGTCCTAAAGACCCACTGCATAGCCCAAGCACACTGGTACCCATTCAGATATTCCACGGTTATGTGAAATCACTTTAACAGGAAGGTTGGGGTTTGAATTCATCAACAGTCATAGAGTTTTGGGGAGAGGAGGATAACAATTCCATGTGACAGCACTAACAGCTGAATGTAGGAAACAGTTTAAGCTTTTCAGTTACGCTTTTGGAGGAAGGCCTTGCTTTTCTCTCTGTCTTTGTTTAGAAATCAGCCAAGGAGATGTGGGCCCTACTTTAAATTTAAGATGACCGTTTACTAGAATTCTAACTAGACTGGTTTAGGACAAGATTACTGGTGAAGATGAACAGAGCACAGGAAAAAATCTGTGTGGACTTAAACATTTTCTGAAAGTATTTGGTATGTGTAAAATGTAGCACCTCACCTATAGATTGATTGAGCCCAATATGGGAATGCAAATGGAACAGTACTGTTTTTTCTGAGGCAATACTTAGGATAAAAAAACCCCCATGTTAATATATAAATGCTAGCTGGAATATATAATGGCTCATGTGGTCAAAGCTCAAGTTAAATGTTCCCATTTACTTAAGCTAAAAAAAAAAAAAGGCTAGCTTTCCAGCTTTTTTTATTTCAAGTAATCCAGTTTGTTGCTAAGCTACTTCCTCTGTCTTTCATCCTCATTTAATACATATCTGTGTTTGGTTTAGTTCAATTTTCCCTTTGTTGAGACCTACACAGTTGAAGAAGTAAAAGTACAACCAAGGCTTAAAAGTGGACTTCATGCCAAAGAAAATACAGATTTGAATGCTGCTTCTGCAGAAGGAAATTACCCCTGGAATATAGATGGAGACTTAATGAAAGAAGCATCAGAAGTTCATGTTCGGTAACGTTAAATATTGCATTTAGCGACCTCTAACAGATTAGTGCTGCAATCTTAAATGTGTTGCTTCTGTATATGAAACAAATGACACCAAAATTAGGTGCTCTTAGAATAGTACTGTTGTGGTTAGAAAGCAGCGTGTGTAAGGTTGAGAAAAACATGTAATTCTTCAATAGTGGGAAACTTAATGCTGCTTGAGAATAGTTTCCATATCTAGGATCTAAGAAAGAGATTACAAATACATGGGGAAAGAGGAGGATTATCAGTGAAATTAAATGGGCAGTAGCTCATTTTTCTGCAATGCACACAGGATTAGTTGAAGGCACACAGCTTAGAGTAACAGTCTGGTACATATGTAAAATAAAAGGTAGATCTTGTTATAGGATATATGCTTCTAAAGATGACCTTACAGGAATTGTCGAAAAGTAATTCACCCTGATTTATTTCCATATAGCAGCTCATACATATTTTTTTTCTTCCCCTCAACCTCAAAAAGGAGCACACCCATTGCAAGAGTTGATGAAGTTGTTTGATTAAATTTGACTTCCTTGCTTCTCAGGGTCCATCCTCAACTTATTGATCTCTATGGAGTGAACACTGATGACCTGGAGAGTTCCCAAGCAACGTGTAACTGCATCTAGAAGGGACCCACTGGAAGTTCTGTAATAAAGAATCCTTTTCTCACCTCTATGCAAAGTTTTCCAAGGTGCTGGACTTGCACTCCATGATGTCAGTTGCAGCAGAAGCTTAACTGGGATGTTTGTAGTATTTCTAGTTTTAAATTCTTATCAAGTTATATATTTTTACCAGGTTGTATTTAACTGTATAGAAGCTGGTAGGCTTAACAAGAAAAAATGAAAACTGATTATATTGGTCTCTTACAAATTTGGGGTTCGAGAAGTGTGCATCAGAGGAGGAGAAAATATCTTTCTAGATTTTTTTATTATGAGATACTTTTAAATCTGCTGCTGGTATCCATGTTGTCAGATGACTCAGTTCAACTAGAGCTGGCAAGTGCAGGTATGGTACCCCCTCATGCTGAAGAATGGTGGCAAAATATAGATTTATGTATTTATTTTTTTAATCCAGAACTTCTGTTTCTAGTTATGATTTTTAATGTTGCCTTAATATATTTGCTTTCACAATGTTTCTAGGCAAATAATATAAAAGACTATGCTGGTGTCCTTTACAACTTTTCTTTGTTCACATGTATTTTAAAAACTACTCTTTGTACAAAGTAAGTATTTTCTCTACTCTAGAACTGAAATGTTATTCAGCATAGTTTTTAATGTTGCTGAGAATAAAATTATGATAAATAACTTCTGAGTTGACTTAAATTCTTTTAATTTCCTTATAGTGCATAAACATAACTTTTGAGTGGTTTTTTTTTTTTTTGTAACTTATTTAATACTTAATACAATAATTTGAGATGACAGCAAATTACGACTATACTCTTTCTGGGAACTGGCTTTCTCTGATGAAATTATATGATTTTAAAAACTACTTGGGAAAAATTCTTACCTGTGCTAAATACACAAGACAAAGAAGTACTGCACCTGAAGTACTGCAGGTGATGACTTAGCTCCTAAGAACAAGCTGTTCCCTGTTGTCTAAGTCACAGTGAATAGTCTCCAGCTAAAATGGATGCTGTATCCCATCAAATATTTTTAACATGCTAATAACTCAAGCTAATCTTCCTAAAGTTGTCTAAAAAGGCAATTCCAGCAACAGTTAGTAGATTTAACTGTAATTAAATAAATGAAAATTAATGAAATAATTGAACTTGCAGAAGAAACAGCATTCATGCATTTAACTTTTTTGGGTTCTTTTTAATGAAATGAAATCAAGTGATACTTTATAATCTTGCCACCATCAGGACATTGTACATTCATTTTTTGTTAACTTGGTTTATAAAAGCTTCATAATTTTGCTTCATATCCTAAGAATAGGCAACCAATGTTTACATGTTAACAATTAAATCCAAATAGGAAGTGTACAGTTTCCAAGGCAACGTTATCTCATGTACTGACTTAAGTAAACTGTTTCAAAGAGAAATAAAAAGCTTTGGTTTAACTTCTTTGCATTGTTTGTACGCAAAAGAACATTAATGCTTCTTCCAATATTTGAGGTATATTTTTCACAGTAATGTCAAACTAATTTCTGTTCAAAGGTTTTCTGGTTAAAGTGCAAAAATTCACTATAGCCATATGGAAGATAAGCATTTTGTGTACATTTTCAGAATACATTGCAAGAATATATTTCATTCTTGACATACTTTATTTTGACTTTAAAAAAAAAATATATATGCACATTCATTTGTCCTTGCACTGTAGAAGGTTTTAGAGGAAAACATACTTTGGAGTGATCCACATCTTTGGCATCAAATGCAGTGAAAGAAAATTAGAAAATGGTCCCCACTACCTTTAGAATCTGTGGACAACGTGGCTTTTATGGCACCAAGCACTCTATTAGCAGAAGCACTTGCTGAAGGCACTCTGTGTAGCTTTTGATTGTCAGGCTAATTCCTATATGATGGTGCAGCTTCAAAGTGTGTGTACAGATGACTGACAGTTCTCCTTGGAGTTCAGAAAGACATCAAAGGCTGGGCCAGAAAGGCCATGCTGCACATTGCTGTTGGAATAACTGATCGAAGCAGTTGTACATTCTCCAGCTGTACTGGGGAGCAAAGTAACGTTTTCTTCCCTGGATTGTACTATTTCACCAAAGCTAGGTGGCACTGCGAACTTAGCAAGCTGAAGAAACTTCCTGCAGTAGCAGAGCAGTGGTTTGATCCATGTTTCTGTTCAGACATTTGCCTTCCCACCCTTGCATTGCTGCTGAGGGTGCCTGTTTGGAGGGTACTTATCTGACAGCTTCACAAGAACCCAAGCTAGCTCTCCAAATGGCTTCCTTATTAAGTACTTTCAGGTATAGGTTGGCACATCTAAAGACAAAATTTGGCCCGTTAAGGTTGGCAGCTGGAGGCTCTTGGGTATGCATGTCTCTGTTTTGTCAGGTGAAGTCTTTTTTTTTTATGGGTTCTGGAAGAATGCCAGCACTAAATACTACTAGGATAAGTACTATAGAAAAATCTTTAAATAAATAAAAATAAATACTTGCTTTCAAAAAAACCCACATAGAAATAATTCATTGGAGAAGTCCAGAACATCATGGCAGCACTATCTGAGGAAAGGATGAAGCAAGTAGTTCTGTCATGTTTGCAAGTACCATGTTAAAGATGGCAACAAATTATGATCTACAATACTTTACTCTCTACAGCTGCATATCCAGGCTACCCCACGTAATTCCCTGCTCTGAATCCACCTTTGACCTTCCTGGTTCTGGCTTGCCTGGGTATCTAAGTCTCTTCAATGATGTGGTTGTGCCTGTGAAGCCAAAGCTTTTGAGGTTACCTTCAGAAGCCCGAGAGAGCTTCTGACAGCCCTTTTCTGCATCCGTGTGCTCTAATTACAGTCCTTCTGTTGGTTTAAGCTAATTTACCCTTGTTAAACTGCCAAAGCAAGATGAGAGAGGATTTCTTCTTGAATGTCTAATCCAAATATTATTAAAACTTCAAAATTACTAGAATAACTCCTGCTAATGTGTTCGAAATCTTGACTTTTCAGGATTGGCCAAAAATTATTACTTTCTAGAAATGCTTCTTTCTGGTAAGTAATTCTTCTTCTCTTTAGTGTTCTTCTGTCTGTATGAAACCATGTATGTATATATCTGGCATTTCAAATACTACTGTGAGACTTTAGAACCAACTGTTTTACCACTTTCATATTAGAACAACAGTACTGTAAGCTGTAGTCCTCCGTACAGTTCAAGGAAATAAAGTGTGTTTTGTAAGAGCGAGCGCGCTCGAGGCCTAGTTTTCTTGTTGCTGATGTTTCTTCTGTGAATTAATCTGAATCTTAATTTCTTCATTTTAAAATCAAATGTTTATTTGCCATCTTAGTCATCTTTGTTCCCAGTTGTAAAACTCCAGCTGTCTCTTCTGTTCGTGTCTTGAGGGACTGGTTTGTATTGCCTTTTGAAAAAGCCAATCTGAAATACATAATTTTGGAATCTGTTGTCAGCAACTCTTGGTTATCAAATCCAAACCATAAAAGATGAATGAAAATAAAAGTACATATATATGGCATTTATGAATTATGGTACTTGCCATTCCTCTGTCATATAAAGTAATCAAGTGTTACTCATCAATCAAAAAAGTAGGTTTGCTTTTCATTTTTTTTACTTTTTGAGATGCTCTTCTGCAAGAAGTAAGGACATATGAGCTTGTGAATTGTTAACAGTCCACAGAATCCAATATCTTTAAAAATGTGAAATAATAATAAAACTTTCCTGTTAAATTTGTTTCATTTCTACTCTTCCATGAAAAAATGATGGATGGAGAAAATCTCCATCTAGCTCAAGAAGCGAACAATCTCTTAATCGCTTGTCAGAGAAACAGCATCTCTCATGGTTTTCTCTTTCACTTATGCACAGATTTTTTTTGTATTTATATTGCAGTTTGAAATCTTCAATATTTTATTCTGGTATGAAATGACGTTGTAGACTTTTAGTCATCACATGAAGTGACAGCAAGTGTGGAGCACCATCCCACAAAAATGATCCATTTGATATCATTAAATTATTTAAATCATTTGCAAACATGATGTCACATAAAACACTGTAAAAGGAATTGTGGTGTTGAATAAGAGAAAATGTAGAATATGCAGAAGATAAAATGGAGAAGTACTTTTGAAAAAACATAAGTTACAGGAGGAATTATCTTTCTTTAGAAAGGACAGATCATAATAAAATGTTATTTATCCTTTAACCTGCATTAACAGATCCAAAAATCCTCCAACAGTGTGAATTCCTGACTTGAGAACAACTAAGAAATACTGAAAACCTACCTTCCATAATATAAATGAAAGAAGCAAAAACAAGGTAACACCAATTATTAAGCCTATGGCAATAATTAGCACAGTAACATGGTATTTTGGCTTTAGGTGGTGCATTCCTTCCAAATAGACCTGAAAAAGAGAAAATGAGTTTAGTCCTAGCTAGGAAAAATAGTTACATTCTCAAGTAATTAATAGTATATTCATTGCCTGTGTATAGATGTGCAAAGATTTCCACAATTTTAATTGCTATTGGTTTTTCTACTTTAACAAGTTTATCACAAATTCATTAAGAGAATCCTTACATATGCAACTTGCTTGTCCTTATGTAGTTCAATAACTTTTGCATTTTTTTCTGGCCAGGCTGTTGCTCTTACTTCAAACTTCAATGCTGATGCATCATCCTGATTAAAAAAAAAATAATTCTTTTAAAAAATAAAACTTCAACATGTTTATTCCTGCCCATCAGAAACAGTAACACAGCTGCTCACAGAAACAGAATCTCATAGAAATGCACAATGGTGCCTTTTTCTGATCACAAAAGAAATTAGATCAGAAGCTGGAATGAAGCCAGGCTGGATTTTACTTAAGTCCACATCCACACTGCTTTTCTTAGAAAAGTACAATTATGAGTTGAAATTAAATCCCAATCCTACATAACCCAGCCAGAATAGGCAAAGCAACACATACCATAAATACAGTGATAAACTGAAATACATATTTTTCAGTGGTTTTCATTTTTCATACATCACCTTGAGCCTTAGCATTGAAAACATAAAATAGGTTAAAACCCCAAAGCTTTAGATTTAATCATACTGTTTGCAAAAACAGATTAATAACTAGAATTTGTATGATGAGAATACTGCAAATACGCCCTGAAATATTCCCCTCAACTATGAAAAATTAATGTGTTACCATTTCTAAAAGTGAAGGAGTGGCCTCCAGATGCAACTGAACAGTCGCTTCTTTTCCGCTTTCCATGTTGCCAAGCTTGCAATGTATTTGTAAGCAAAGGCTGTCATTTTTCATGCAGTACTGTAGAAGGGAGGGGAAAGGTTAAAACTAAAGTTATCAACTTTATAATCTTAGTATTAAAGACTCTCAGGAACCGAGTCAAATAAAAAGATCTATATTTGTTCTTGAAAACGGAGGGTGTAACTCCAGGTTGTCATCCGTCACTGTCAGTCCACAGGTGCTAAAGGTACAGTAACAAGGGACCGACCCAATTGTTATAAAAAACACATAATTTTTCTAAAAAAATTCAAGTTTTTGTAGACTGAAAAAGAATGGTTTTCATAATTTGTTTATATGTTTGGTTGGGGGTTTTTTTGCACTGTTATTTCAAATCAGCTTTTTTCAATAATGGTAAATGACAATAAATCTATGCTATCTGGTACAAACAGTAAAATTTTTACTAAGAACTTCCCAGCCAAAAATTATTTCCATATATTTTGTAATTCTTTTGGACTTTCAGTCCCATTAACTTGAAGTGAATTTCTTGGAATTCACTTATTTTTAGTACACATAACACCCTTCAGGAAGAACTTCTACCATGAGTACTACTTTTGGGGTTTTCTTACCTAGCTCCTACTAGTTACATTTCACAGCATTTTTTGATGTATTTGATCTGCATATTTCATGTAATTAAGATAAAGCCTGGCTTTGCCTCATGCATGATTTTCTATTTGTTATTGAATGTCCTCTGCTACTCTGTTTGCCCAGTTATACACCCCTTTGGCAGTTCTTTTTAGGTGACTGTCATCCACTGACTTCAGCAACATGTCATTAATTAACCTTAGCATTTCAGTTCTCACCTCTTTCACTAAAGTCACTTATGACTACACTGAACTTACCACAGGTCCCACCACAAATCCTTGGAAGACTGCTCTGGTGACCTCATTACACAAGATGTACTGTTGTCTTAAGGCTTATTCATACAGTCATTTATTTTCTACTGATGCCAAAAGACAGACCTTACCATTTGTCTCTTAGTAGGCTTTGAAAAGAAAGTGACGACATCCTTTAATATATTTTCATTTTTTTCTGCTGCAGTACAGTTTCTGGGATATGTATTATAGGAGCACTGTCCAACTGTTGTCTGGAAATAAATATAACATCATTAATTTTAGAATTTTAAATATCAGATAATAATCAGAGTACAGATTTCTGAAAAGCTCAAAAGAAATATAAATTTTATCTTCAGGATTCTGAAACATGGGGCTGAAGATAATCCTATTGTTCACTCTGCCTCACCATAGCAAGCAAATCAAACTTATACTGAGTACCTAGTTGGCTATGCTCTGCTTCTCTTTTGAATCTAATTCATATAGCTAATAATATATGATGTAACCCGTGCTTACCTTGATATTCAGTGTGTTGAATAATTTGAAGTCCCTGGGTGCAAAAGCATTTGGTATCATTATCTCTAAGTTAGTGTTTGGAGACATGCTCGGTCCTGCACTGATAACCTTGTGGGGAAAAGTGTTATACAGTTAAAGCTTCAGTGGTAGCTATTCAAGTAACAAATATATATATATATAAATACAAAAAGAACTTCACAGAATAGGGTAGCACCTGTGCTGTTATGCTGTCATGAAAGTGGATTCTGCTGGGAGTTCTAACATTTAGTTTCATTCATTCTGAAGGTTTACTGAACCCTTTACTCCTCCAAAGCCAATGAGTAAGTAGTGCTAATCTGTGATGACTACCCTGAGGTCATACAGCCTGTTCCAGGAGAATATGGGAAAGGAACTAGGAGGGATTAATGTCTAAACTCCTGCTTTTAATCCACTGGATGCAAATCTGATACCTACGGATCCTCTTATAAGGAGCTCCTAGTTCCTTTTTCTTACTGTAAGATACACTTTTTAAGTGTTTCTTAATAGAAAAAGTGGCAAGTCAGAACTGCTTTACCACTTTCAATCCTTCTTGTGCTAAGCATTTTTGTTCTGATCATTCAGTGGAAGATTTTCCAGGCCAAAAATGTGTTCTAAGTGGGATTAACAGCAACTTCCCACCGCCAATGCATGAGCTACTCACTGTGCCCTTGTGAGTAAAAGAGAACTTAAAAAGTTCCCTTACAAGTTCCCTAACTGACTGCACAGACTGTCACTACATACACTAAGCATTAACCTTCAAAACAAGGATGACAGCATTTACAAAGGAAAACTCTTACATGGAAAGTGAAGTTGATATTCTCCTTCATGCATGTAACTGGTGAATCTTTCTCTTCTGTTCCATAAACAAACAAAGCTGGTGACACAAACCTGCAATGGTTTAGAAGTTGTTAATTAATGGAATTGCTGTATATCCTTAGCATAACTTCCTGTTCCGTGCTATCTCCATCCAGTAGGATTAGTTCTAAGAAAATACCCAAGTTTGCATTTGAGTATAGCTAGGAACACAGAGTTGAAATCCTCTACCTTTGGAGTAGGAATTATTCACATTTTTACTCTTCCCTCTTAAAAAGGCAGATGAATCAGAAAAAATCATAAATCCAAAAATCCCAAAACCATGCTCCATGAATGCCCCACAACAAACCAGAATATGGTCCATGTTAAGCAAGGAATCTGAGCATCTGCTATACTCTTATTAAATACCTCTTTATATATATAAAAAAAAAAAATCCCTGTTTTAAAAAAATATTAGTCTGTTAAGAGACAGGTTTGAAGCACCATAAATACCAATGGGGTCTCATCTCACAATTGTGAAAACAAAATCTTAGAAGTGTACGGGTCAGACCCCAGGATGGCCGTGCCATGTCATTCCCAGCATTTTTCAGCCACATCACCTTCTACTTAAAACCTTTGTGAATTTAGAATAGTAACATAACAGTTCTATGGATATGCAGGTATACCAACAGCTGACTTACCCATGAGTATTTAACTCAATCTCATATTTTAGAGGTATAGCTAAAGTTAGTGAGTTATCCAGCAACATGTTTCCATCTTCATTTTTACTATAAAAATACAATGAGAGAAAAATCTGTGTTGAAGACATCATCACATGCTATGCATTATTTCTGTAAACAAATACTAAACAGACCTTTCAGCTTATAAAACCCAAAATATTTTATTGGTAACAACACTTCAGACACTAAAACCCCCCACATTCTATACAGGCAGAAACCTGCTGGTTATTTAAATATCTATTATCTGGTTTTTTGGATCATTTCTCTTTCTCTACAGATAGGCAATCGTACTTTCTTGCAATTGTGACTTGCTAAGTCTTTCCAGTGTTCCCTAGTCTGTTTTCCAAAGCTAGTAGTATTTTTCATTGAGCAATTTTTGTTAGACTTTACCAGGTAGCATTAACAATGATGTTAAGGTCCTCCTCTGCTTTGGTAAACGAGCTTGCATCCAAGAGGAAACTGTAATCCAGCTGTAGAAAAAACAAAATTTTGCTTATATATCATAATACAGTTTAAATAAAATTATTTTATTAAACTAATTTATAATTTCCTGCTCTAAAAAAATTGAGAACTAAGAAAACACTTGATTTTTGTGTCTTCTACTCCTTTCTATTGGCTTTACATATTTGTTTGTAGCCTTAAGTCAGCTCACTGGTCTGGAACCCAAGCACAATCGGTTGATACATAACACTTTGTTGTGCCTTAATGAATTATTCCAGAGACTGTTTAAGCAATTAATTTTAAAATTAGCAGGAGAGATACAGATACCAACATATGTCAGTTGAGAATGAAGAAGAGATTCTGAAAAACAAGGTGATTTTTTTTCCCAGTCATAAATCCTCATATTTAGGGTGTTTCTAAGGCTAGGAACTTCAGCCATAGCTTACCTTTGATTTTTGATCTACATATAAATAACCAACACTGCACTCAAGTTTTACTGCATGAATTTCTTTATCTAACACATCACAGTGTATCTGTTTTTCTTCCTAAAATAAAGAACAAATTATTAGTCATTAAAACAAAACAGGGTTTTTTTCCCAGACATTTAAAATTACATGCACACACTGAAATTGGGTGCTTTATGTTTTCCTGAACTACGCATTTGTTATATATTTCAGTGATGCAAATATACAAGACATTGATATCATTCACAACCACTTTAACATAACATTTTGTATGGATTACTGTATCTGGTTACTTTGTCTGCTGCTTGCTTATAGTGAAGCTAAAGCAAATGCATCAGACTCATGTTAAAAGCCAACCTCAGAAAGGTGGATCAGGGAGATTCTACACAGACAACCGTTATTTTTAAAAGGCAGGAAGAGCACAGTTAGGTTTGTGACTTCTTATAAGCCTGTGTATTTGTGAAAAGGACAGATTCAGGGAGATCTTTGTGATCAGTGAGAACATGATCATCAGACAAATAGAAACCATAACATCCTGAAGTACACTTATAAACATTTTTTTTATTCTTCTTGTTACTGAAATTATTTAAGTCACTGCATTGATTAAATTGCACTTGATTTAGGTAGCTACAAGTCTGAGAACTTGAAAACTGGTGTTTTGTCAGCTTCTTTTGGCAGGAAGGGGATGTGTGTGTAAGTTGTCAGTATCTAAAAAAACCTCAACAATCCATAATTTGAAAAATGCCTAGCTGAGAAAGAAAAATATCAAAGGATTACTGTTTGAGACTTTTTTTTTTCCTTACCAATTCTAAAACTCGAATGAAATAAAGACCTTTAGGGATCTGAATGTGGAGGACAGTTTCGTATGCATCATCTCCAGCATTAAGCAGAGAAATGTTCAACAATAAAGTCTTCATACTTCCAACAACAAGATATGTTTTCTTATCATGAGGCCTGAAAAATAAGTGATCATAATATAAATGAAAAGTAATTCTATTTACAGGTTGTTTGCAAAAATTTTCCTTTGCTGCCCTTTTAATTACTTTCAGCTGGTTCTGACAAAGCTCTGTTGGAGATGTAAGGTTTTACTCAGTCCTGTAACTGAAGGTACAACACCAGTTATAAGATGGTCAACCCCAGTACTGTACCTTTTAAAGCTTGAAGTGGTTAATGCGAGAGCAAGAAAATTGTTACCATTCCAGTTGTGCTTCTGGCCTTTACAAGATCAGCCCTTCCCTTTACAGCCCAGAATAGCAATGCACCACTGCTACAGTATTTCCAGACATTACTTCAAAATTCACTCTTTGCACCCAAGATACAGGATTGAGTTAATATGAAACTCGTCACAAAGAGGGCAAGTGAACATGCCTAGCTTATGATCTATGTGATGTTCTATAATCATGTTACAAGTACAGACATCCTATGGGGGGCTAAAAGTAAACTTCAGCTTGACATTAAAGTTTAATTAAGACTTGTAGAAAGGCTGCCTAGAAATAGACATTTATCAGATATTCTGGCTTGAAACCAAAGCATTAGTCACTGAACACCTTTGGGAAAGAAGCTGGCACTGAGAAAAGCAACAGAAGGCAAAAGCACTGCATAAGCAGATAGGTTCCAAGACAAAAGCAAATTAAAGAAAAACACAGTGTTAACATTTCGGTAGCTTGTCAAGTTTAGGTTAAATTTTAGCATTGTTTTACGAGTTATATGTCTACCATGCCATCCTTTTCTATGTGTGAAAGCCAAGCTCTCATTAACAATATGCTGTCACAGAGATGCCTCCCAGCTTAACACACAAGTACACAAAAGCACCAGGTGCACATCTGGGACTACAACAAAGCTGAACTAGAGCTTTTCCCTGGTAATCATATTTCATTCTTCATTAAAAAAATGCATGATGCCGACTAGAAATTTACCAGGCCAAAATCTAAGCAATTTAAACAAAACATGATAGTGTGTACATGAAGACTTGTAACTCAGTAAGGAAAGCATTACATTGCCACCCCTATTTGATTTCATTCTTTTAAAACCAAGTGTTTGCTCTGCTCTTAAACGATAATGAATGCATTCTGTCTAGACAAAATAAATTAACGCTTCACAGTTAACTAGTTTTTAATCGAGATTCTAGGGGCACAAGGTAATTTAAGGTGATACTTCACACTTTATCAAGATATTTAGACTATTTATTTACACTGCAAATCTGCTACTGGTACCTAATGTCAAGCAGGTTTGTTGTAATCTGTTTTCCTTTCTTTGAGTTTTGAAGTACTTACAAAACTGCATTGCTAATTTCATGAATGAAAATGCTGCATAATCTTTCTTTCTGAAAAGTTTATGAGCATTCATATAAAATAAACATCCAGCCTAAGAAAATTAAAGGGCTTATGACTCATGCTACAGGCCATGTGTTAAAGTAGGCAGAAAATCTTATCTTACTCTGAAGTCTATGAATATGAAAAAGCTTGTGCTCAGGATCACACGAGTGTGATTAATCAGCATTATATGATTGTCATCTTTCAGTGTCATTTTAGGTTGTTTAACCTAGTATTTTGATTCAAGTAGAATCAACTTAAAAAGTGATAAATTACACAAGAAAATCCAGGTCACATACAAAATACCTAACTAGCTGAGATTTACAACAGGTACAATTTCTCTTTTTGCACACCGAACCCCATATACACTTCTTACTTTGAAATATAATAGTCAATAAAGACAAAGGTTGTAATGATAAAATATAAGTTAAAATAATTAAGTGGCTCTTTTTCCTCATTTATTTGAGAATACTACATCTTCAGTTTTATACTGAGACTTTGTACAGTGAAAATACAATATCTTCAGAAGATCAGCAGAAATAACCAATAGCTTGTCAATTTAACAGTAGTTATGATGGCTGCATATTGAGTATGCTCTGTGCAGTGTATCTTAGCCCAGTTATATATGAAGTGCAGAATACAAATCTATGTTTTTGGGAAGAAGATATATGTTGAGCTGTAAAATCTTCTAAATATGCAGTAACAGTTCTTCAATTATATAGACTTCTGTCACATTTCCTGGAAGATTTATGATTTAAAAATATTCTTCAACTAAACACAGCTCTAATCCTTGTATTTTCACAGGGAGTCCCCAGTCTACTTTTGCAAATTAATGTTATTTATATGTAAAAGATTAATTAATAATTTAGATAAAACCTTACTGAATCATTCTCCAAACAAAGAAAGCTACATCATACTTACTTTGGAAAAACAACTTTTCCAGAAACTCTTAAGTCAGCAGAACAATTTTCTTGGGAGCAATGTCGTGCAAAAATAAACTGTAAAAGCCAAATTTAAAAAAAAAAAAAAGGCACTTCAGTGTATTATGCTTATTATAATCAGTAACAGTATTTAACAGAAAGAAACCTATCATCCAGTAACTAAGTATCTGGAAGTGTCTGATAGCTCTTACTCCTAAAAGGCAATTCCATGAGTCTATGATTTACCATTCTGTGCACCCAGAATAACAGTGGAGAGGCTTTCCAGACTCAGCCTCTCACAGTCAAACCAGTGGGTGTATGGTCAGACAAATTTTTAAAAGTAGTACATAAAGAGAGCAGAGTGTTTGAAAAGATCCAGAACTGATGTCTCTGCAGTCTCTCCTTTGACACAAGGTTTCCTTTACACAACCTGTACTTATCGTATTGTCAGTAGGGTTTGATGGGAGTAGAGACATCATGAGTTGCATGTGTCTGTGCCTCGGTTATCAGCGTGCTGCTACAGAGCATGTTTATGTCACTATATTCAACAACACCCTCTTTATTTCTCTATAATTCTGAGGTTACTAAAATAAAATTTTGAATGAAGATGAAAAAGCAAAGCATGCCATATAAAAGAAGCTTTCACATATCTCTAGAGTTCTGATGGTCAACTCCATCTTAATTACATTTCCTATTTGTGAAAAGTTATAATATGTTTATGACCATTGGGTAGTTAAAAATTCAGTGCATTCTGGATTTTGCTAAAGTCAAAGTCTATTAACTCTCAGTAAGTTCTTTTTTTTGGGGGGGAAAGTTAATTTCATATTTATGAAAGGATACAGAATGTACTCTTTTGTTCCCCTCTCAGACTGTGTTTGAAAACTTGCAATACCTTCAAAGAACTAATATTTCAGCAACATTGTCAAAATTCAAGATAAATACCAACATGATATTGTGTATTTAACACAGAATTAATTTGAAAGAACTATTTTATACTGGAAAGTGACTCATAGAGTATAGTTATGAAATAAAGCATATTTCAAAGAGTGAATTTCATACATGTGTGATTTGGGGTATATAATGTTATATATTCAGGCAAGTTCTCTGCACATACCATTTATTTATTTTTAAATCATAATACAGATTGTATACAAGTTCTGTAAACATTTTTTTCAGCAAAAAATTAGGCATTTTTTTAACATATTAGTTTATTAATTAAGATCAAGGCACTAGGTGTGGGTCTGGAAAATGCATTCCTGGAAAATGCACGCTATGGATCTGCGAAGCATTTTTAACTGAAGACTAAAACACGAATATTTACTTACTGCATAGAAAAAAAGAGAACTTATACACTAACCTTGCTTTTTATAATATCTTTTTCCTTCCTCCGTTGAAGAACAGGTTGAAGTGGTGAAAATTCTTGAGCATTTCTTTTCTGTAGAATATGATGCCCCAGACGATAACTCGCTTCAACATGTACAGGAGTCAAGATATCCCTTACATCTTTCTATGAAAATTGGAAACCTAATGAGTTAATCATATAAGACAAGACATGTATGCTTATGTTTTAAAGTTATAAGGTTGCCTAGAACTAACTAAAACAGCAACACTTATTTTTCACATGTAAATTAATTCCACATGGCTCATATACTTTTGCAGACATCTCTGCTGCTGAAGGAGTTAATCAGAAACACAGAAAAGTGTAATACTGTTCAATGACAGCATCAGGCTTTTCAGAACGGAAGATTCTTCTGTTATGAGAAATCTTATCTAAAAGTGAACTTACTATCAATAATACTGCCTTACACACCTATGGAATGCTGTACTGCCCAAGCAGAAAAATAGGTGAGAGTTGGCTAAAATGAAGAAAGGCCAAGCAGTGGGATAATGCCAGACAAAACCTGTGGGTATTTCTGTATGAGATCAAAAGGAGTTCTCCAGTGGTACCACTAAATCAGGGCTTGACTGCATTTTATTTTTATGCCTCTTTATTTCTCATTCTGTAATAAAAAGATTGAACTCCTTAATAAATGACTGTTTTGTACATGAAGCCTTGACTGCATAGGAATGTTGCAGATCGGAATCCAAACTACCTACTTGTGAAAACTGAACAGCTTGAAGCACCAAGTACTAGCAATAGCAAACCTGATTAAATTATTCCCTAAGTGTAGGGGATAGATAGACACTGATTGTCCCTCCACATGGCCACTACTTTAATTCTTATCTGCAAGCTTGTGTTAGCCAAATCACATATTATCTAATTCATAATAATTTTCCACAAGGTCTTTCTCTGCATCTGCTTTATATTACTTCCATTATACTAATTAGCTATTAATTAGCCTTTACTCAAAATACATAAAATTTATATTGTCTCTTGCAAGGACTGTACTTGACAGACATTCACACTTACTTAACTTTAGGAGCTTCAGTGGGTGGAAGGAGATGCTTATAATGCTATTAATTAAGAACTAAGAAGAAAATTGAATTCTATGGAGGAAAAAAATACTAATGATAGACTATAGGAAGTGATGAGCCAAATCAATTCCTTCCTCCTACACAAATGCCTCTGATGCTGGTACAGCAATCTGTACAAGGTTGGCTGTCAATCAGATCCCTCTTAGTTTACAAAACTCTTATAAGTAAGTGGCAATTTTCCACTGCTCCTGTAAGAAACATTCACTTAGGTGCCACTACCAGTTGAGATGCATCTGGGCAATTTTCCAGTAGACAACACAAGCTTTCCTTTTTACCCAGAAGCTTTATCATAAAGAATTGGCTTCTATTGGTGTCATAAACAAAAAGTAAGTGAAAGGAAAGAAGAAGAAAAATACATGGAAGAATTTTTCCCTGCAGGTTTTTTTTGTAGCTGTAGAAAATTAAGTCTCTTTTCCAGCCTCTGTGCAGGATCAACTGCATCAGTCACCCTGATAGATGCTTGTTTCAAAAGGTCACAGAATTGCTACCTTGAGGATTTTAAAGAAAAGGTTAGGTAAACTGGTCTATTATTTTATTACCCTTGTTTCCCCTTACATCTAAATAATCCCTGTCCTTAGTATTTCTTTAAAGAATTGTTTTCCCCCTTAGATAAGGTCTTAGAGCAAATAAGTCTATTTTTTTCTAAGCTTAATGAAATGTGATCCCTTTGTGCCCACTGGTTTTTATTGTTTGTCATGGTTTAGGACTTCCAAGTTCTTCCCATTTATTCTCCCAATTTTTTGTTGGAATAGACAAGCATCTAAGATGTTTGACAGAATTAATCACTTTTACTCTTCCTTCTCCATTGAACGGCCTTAAAAATATTATATCCTTATCCTGATTTCAGGGGTTTTTTCCACTTTCAAGACAAGTTCCTCATTCATCTTTCAGAGGGATACATCAAGCATGAATACGACATTCAATCCCTCCAGGGTAACAGTGACTTCGAGACTACTTTGCAGTTAAGATCTTCCTGACTAGATTCTTAATAACCTATATCTAAGTCAGTACCATACTCAGTTTGAAAGGATGGTTGCTGTTGAATCAAACTCTACTTCTGAAACCAACAGCCAGCTTCCTGCTGCTCAGCAGCTGTGCCATCTCTGTTACTGGTTGGGTACAGGCCTCCCTGGCCAGCTGACACCCTGCAGGTCTCCAACAGCCTCCTGCTCAACACCCAGTGCTGTGGCAGCACTTCTACCTCAGTGGCTTCTCTTCTGAAGCATTTCTACCAGCAGATTTCTTCTACAACAAAGTTGCCTCTACATCTTGAGACGGAGAACAGTAACTGTATTCACTACAAAACTCATCCAGGAGAGAGACGTATCTGTGCAGGCTTCCACATTTGTAAGCAGATGAATAGAGAGATAATTTTTTCAGCACAGTGCACATTCTCCATATTGTTCAGATCTAAATTCATTAACGAAACTGTCATGAGTGCTCTTCCTGCTCCATTTCCATCTTTAGCTTATGTGAATGTTCCCCTCAGCGAGTGCTGCATCCCTTGGAGAAAAAGATCAAACGACCTCAAGCAAGTGCTCTTCTTCACACCCTGCTAGCCTTTGGCTCCTTACAACAAATTCACAAAACAGACCACACTATAAACCTTGAACCTCTTTTCTAGCAATTGCCTTCATTTCAGTTCCTATGGATTAGGGATGGGCTCTTTTCTTATTAGCTGAGTCTACCTTAATTTCTCACAGTAAAAACGGGAGCAAGACCATACATGTGTTCTTTGAAACAGTTACAAATCAAAATAAAAACCACAAGTTTTAAGATTTTGCACTTAGGAGCTCATTGGAAAGTTCCATCAGAAATGTTCAGAATGTACATGTTACACTGCATCTTCTTGGTTGCTCCAAACCAGCCTCACTCTATGATCTGTCATTCATAACAAATGGTGAAAAATGTCAAGACTGCTCATGTCCTACTTCATCACTGTGATTATTATTATTCTGCATGGTCTCACAAGCATAAGAGATGGCAGACCTGCTGACTTCTCTACAGAAAGCTGAGAAAGCATCAGAATTAGTATATAATAACTGTGGAAGTTATGAACACAAATATTTCACATTCAAAATGATGTGATGCGATTGCAAACAAAATAGGTTTCTTTGCAGCAGGTGTGCTTTTCAAAGGAGACCAAAGGATTTACAGGACAATATACACTGAAAATTACATTACCCTCATAAATGCTGGATGATCTTTGCAGGCAGTATTCTTGCTGTAAATCTTTACTTTTCCTGAGATTGTATCAGATGTTCCATTGGAGGAAAAATAGAACCTTGCTTGTGTATCCTCTTTTCTGGTCACGTCAACACTCAGATTATAAAGCAATACTGCAAAATAAAACCCAGGGAAAATAAAGGTTGTAAAATCTTTAGGTGTTTTGATTTTCATGAATTTATGACAGAAATTATGTCTTCTGACTCATTTCCTCAAGGATATTCTGTAACATCCATTTTAAAATGCTCTGCTTAAAAATGATCTGACATAAATCCATACCTAATGAAGGCTTCTAGTACTTTGAAAATTGATTGCTTTGTGACTGTTCTCTGATACATGCTTTTACATCAGGGATAGTTTTATCATTTTTTATTTTATATAATTTATCATATATATTTATAGCTTTCTACCAGAATCTATTTAAAGAAAACCCACTTCAGTTACTTGACAAATTACAACAAACTGATAGGTAAACAAACACTGACAAATGTTGTGGAACTTCACAGGTTTTTCTATCTAAGTTAGCACAGATTGCTATGATAGCAAATTGCAAATGAATTTCAGAGCATTACTGATCTTTTACTTAATCTTTGCCAAAAGATGAGTTAGATTATCTACAATTTCTCCTAGTTTTTTTAACTGAAGTTGAAGAGTCTCATGTCCAAGTCCACCAAGGGTGATCCAGTCTGACTGTTCATCTTGCAAAATGAGTATGAATTTCAAAAAATCTGGACTTGCAACTTTACAGTTCATCATTGCAATATGTTCTCTGTAATGTGTTCCTAAAGGATATTCTCACACAGAAGAGTTAAACAATTTAATTTTATATACCATGTATTTGCAGGGCTGTTTGCAGTTTACAAATAGCACATGACAAGTAGGTTAAAAGCACCCAGGCAATAGTCAAATTTAGACCGTAAATTATCTTAAATAAATTCACCATGAATATTCCTTCTGATAGATATTGCTTCAAGCAATACTGGTTTCTGTCAAAAGCAAAACAGGCATTATATAAAATACAATACAAGACATATTTTTCAGTAATTTTGGTGGGACTCCCTCTCTTTTGTATAATGTTCCACAATGGTATGATCAGGTGCTTGAGCTGCTTTAGGAAGAAATTGTCTTCTCCTATTGCTAAGTGGAAGACTGCATCCCACAGCAGTCCCATGTGGTTTGGTCCATGCCTGAGAGGAGTGCTTTTAGAGGACATCTAAATATCACCATTTTAACATGAATGTCTCTCCTTAGCCATGGAACTAAGAAAGTCCTGGTAGGGATGTGCTGTTACTCTAAATTGGACAGAAGTGTAATGGCTTGATGGTATGGGGGAATCATGAGATAAAAAAGGTATCCATGTTATCAACTTTTCATTTCATTCTGAACTCAGATGAATAGTCTACTAAATACCAGGAGCATTGTTATGGAAACAGGTGCATTTATATTGAATACATATACTGGATTTTTTTTTTCCCAGTAGCTTACCAATATAACCAGGTACCTCTCGTCCTCTATAGCTAAAGCATATCTTCAAATTCATGCAGGTGGCAGGCTGGTCATTTTCCATGCAGTTTAAATTAGTTCGATTTATTGAATTAGGATGTTTTAAAGAAGCTTCAACAATTATCACTGGTTTTGTTCTAAGAACAGAAAAGAGTAAATGCTCACAAATAATATTCAGAAATAGCTTACACAATCTGTGCAAAACTAACCATTTCTGACAAGCTATTTTTATATTTTAGAATCATCATTTTTAAGCTATCGGCATTTCTTAGATAGTTTCAAATAGTTGTATACGTATTATTTGTTGCTTCAAGAGGTTTCAGAACAATATTTTCATTTTCTTCAAGGTGTTTACTTAAATGTTTTTGTAGAGCACTCTAGAGCCTAATGACTGAAGTTCAAGACATCAAGAAGAATATAATGAGGTTAAATTATACTACTGAGTTTTATTGAACTGCACTAAAAAATAGAGTTAAATTGTATGGTCTTCAAAAGCACTGAAACACAGCAATCTCACCTCAGCACCACAGCAGAATCGGAGAAAAATGCACCAACTGCTACATCTGTACAAAACAATGTATCAATAAGAATAATTTGTCAAGAAGAATTACTTCTAAGGTACTAGCATTTTATAGCATTTTCACCTTTTGGTCAGCATTAAAACACCTTTTGCCCTTTATTTATTGGAAGGGATATGCTGGTATTCAAAGGTCTACAAAACAATTCCTGAAACACTTTTCCACTGTCCATTAACACTGCATGCTCATTTGCTGGACTTGCAGATATTGATAATGTTATGACTGGATTTCTATTCCATATTTAAGTGGCTGATACTGAAGGACAATTCAGCTAAAAAGGAGGCACTCGCCTTTTTCTAATCCAGATATTCAATATTGCTGTACAAACACACATATATAGTTATACATATATATAACAAAATGAATTGCTTATGTGTATTGTATGAATGAAATCATACATCGAGAGAAAGAGAAAAAAATTATTTAATTTATTCCAAACTAACTCAAACCTATTAATGTACTAAGGAAAGAAATACACACAGTATATATATATATACACACACCTATCAAATGAGGTAGCAAAAGTGAATTGTCAGATGACTCTAAATGATACAAGGATCTGAGGATATGACTTGCAAATCAGTAAACAACAGGTGACCTGAGAGCAAACTACTTGTAAACTATCTTTTAGCCCAGCATTACAAATTAACCTGGGTAACATTTCTATGGGCAGTGCCAGAGCATACATCATGCAGTTCACGTAACTTTGTGCTTTTACATCCACAGGGGCAGGACAGACATACTCGACCTGATGTGACACCAATCTGCAAAATGTTAAAATATTTTGATGGTATGTATAAAGCAATTAATGTATACTTGGAAACAGCTAACTTGTTTTACACCAAATTAACACTACCACGTTGTGCCCACAACAACTCCACATGGGTCTTATTCAGTGCCGTGAGCCCTAAGAGGGGTTCGTGTGTTGTTCACACAGAGTCAAGGAGCTCATCACTCCTGGCAAAATCCAGACCATGTGAAGGCCAGTAATATATTTAGGTTGGCACACTAATCTGCACAAGAAACATGCCGTCTAGTGCCCAAACCAGCTCATTGTGACATTAGCAGATGACATAGTTGCTTTAAAAGTAAAAATTATGTTTTTCTTCTGCTTGTGCACTGTGATCTTACTATTGCATTGTTCTCAGTCCTTAAATAATAGTTAGATGACCGTGAAAACTGACTGCTTGGCCTCAGTTTTACCTCTTCTTTTCCTTCCAAAATACAAGATGTGACATGTTGTCTTAATAACAGATGTTGCTTCCGTTAAAAGTATCAAGTAGCACAGTAGGGTTGTTCCCCATGAATTTCTACTCTTTTAAAAATGAAAAATAAATAAAAAAAATTGTTTAATTTACCTTGATATCCATTGTTATCTGTGTCAATGCCACTTGCTATGGATTGTCCAAACATGCTTAAAGAATTACTGACTTGATGTCCTTGTATTCTCTGAGAAGGAAAAGGTAAAAGAGAAAATTATTCTTGGAAAGCTAATCTCTGAGCTACAATGTTATCCCAACCAACTGATGAAGGCAATTACGTGCTCCCTCAATTCCTGCAAATGTTAAATCCACTAAACCCTGTCTAAAGCCCCAAACCCAATTTATTTCTGTCTTAGAGTACAAGTTATATTATGACTGGAAATTACAGATTATGTAAAAATTTTCTGAAGTCTTTAACAGTACTTCAGGTGGTCACGGTGTTAAAGGGAAAACCCTCTCAGATTTAAACTTACTTTTTTTTCTGGAATGATTATTTTTCATTGAAAAAGCATACCTGTGAAAATGATGGTGTTATTCCATCTTCCCTGCCATTGTAAATATAAATAGCCCCTTTTAGATTATCTTCTTGTGGAGCCCCAATTGCCACATCTGTGGAAAAACAATTTAGCAATGATCAGCTAACTAGGAAATATGAACAAGGAATGGTTAAAGGAATGCAAATCATGATGCATGCAATGCCAGACCAAATTTACCTGACTGAATTCAAAAGCAGTGCTGAACACTGACATAAAGCAAACAGAAACAGTACAGAGCAGCTCAGTCGTCTGACTCTACTTGAATTGCTGTGTTTCTGGAAACAAGGGTCAAATACAGCTATTTTGTTGAAGTCAAAGTCTGTTTCTAGCAATACTTATTTTGACCCTTAAGAAGTTAAAAGGTTACCATGAAAATAGCCAAAATTATGACGGTCTTTAAAAAAAAGAAAAAAAAAAAGCCTTGTATTCATGGAACTGTGATGATTTTCCTGGTCTTCCCATATGCATTAAATCACTGAAACACAAGAAGTACTCTTGTTACGCTGTCTGAAATGAATCATTTATTTTTTCATGAAATGTCCACAATAGTTGATAACAGGCTTGGAAAGGCATTTAGGCAGGAAGTGAAGGTAGCTGGTTTGTAAAAAGGGATATATTTTATGCCTAGATGATTTAATCCCAGAGTGGTGTGGCAATTCATAACAAACTGAATGAACCTAGCCACCCACCAATCCACCTCAACAGCCCTTACCAAAAACTCCCATGGTTCAAAGAGCCAGAGGTTGTTGACCAAAGAGTGGAGGGAGTGGGAGATGAATTACACCATCTTGAAAGTCACTATTAATAACTGTGAGTTTGCATTTAAAAATAAGGAAAACTGAACTATCTGCAAATCAAAAATACTGCAGACTGTACCAAACCAAAATCGCAAGAAAATCAAAGCTCTGACTATTTGGTTTTACTGAACACTTCTCTGACTGAATCTACATTGACTGAATCCATACTGTGGCAACTAAAACACACAAAATATGTTATGTCTCTCTACTGGTGTGATGAAACTAGTACAGTCAACTTGTGCCTATTAAAATAACATACATGTTCTTGATGAGGTCAGATTCTACAGCAGCACACACCCATTATCTTCACAGGACTGATACTGATGGTTTAGATCATTGAAGAAGCTTGTTCTGCTCTTCTTTTTTATTACTGACTACAGAATAATGGTTTCTAGCACCCAATTTCTCTTCATATTTTGCTTCCAGCTTTTTTTTCACAAAATTTCTTTTTCTACTGCCACTCTCAACATTACTTCTACTTTTTATTTTCAATGTTTTTGCTCCCTTCAAAACCTTATCGACTTGTTTGCCCCTCCTCCCCTGCAGTTTTAGGATGCCCATTTTACATTATATTCTGTGTCATACATCTGCTTTGCTATGCTGCTATTGATTTGATTTTACTTTTCTGTTCCCCAGTCCTACATTGGGATTCAGTTTTCTTTCGTAGTAAGCAAATGTTTTAGGGCAAAATGTGAAACTTGTATATAAAACTATGAATTCAGTACTGGGGCATGGTCATTTATGTCCTTCCCTTTGTTTTCCATTCACTGGGGGCACATACTAGGCAATTCATGAGTCACCTGAGATCCTAACTGGGAAGTAGTTCCACAATAGTCTCCCAGCTTGAAGGTTGTTTTCAATATCCCCATATATTTAGTATCTATGGGTGGCACAGAAGTAGACCTAGACTCAATATATAATTTTTATTTATGATGTTACAAAATTGCCAAATTGTTCCCTAACCTTTGTCTCAGCTAAAACAGGATTAGTTTTGAGGTCCAGCACCAAAAGTAACAGACTGTTATCACCTTATGTTCATGCTCTTCATTAAAGAGACAGAACCTAATCCTTGGTATTACAGCTCATTGACTGTGAAGCAGCCATATTTTAAATCAGAAAGAAAAGGTCAAGCCCCAACCCAAAATTATTCTTAGACTTCCAAAATCCTCCTGTCTATCATGACAGTCCACTGATCTAGGAGAATGAAAACCAAGGGGTTTTCTTTGTATTCTTACCTTCAAAACCATCATTATCTATGTCTCCTAGATTGGCTATGGCCTCTCCAAATCTCGCTGCATATGAGTCACTCCCACTGAGCTCTACGTTCAGTTCAACCATCTTTGCTTCCTGAAGGAAATCAGAGTCAATGGCACATTAACAGAGCATCTTCCAGGTGACACGGAATATTACTCAAAGTGTTAAAACTGCCTTGGATACCAATATATCATCCTACAAACTCCTTGGTGTAGAAGCAAGCACCATCAAAGATATTTCACAAGTATTTGGTGTAAATGAATAAGTTGCTCTTTAAGAAAGAGACCATCAATGTGTTCCCACAGCAAGCACCTGTTAACAGCAGCAAGCTTATATCAGAATACAGGGCCTTACTGCTCTGAGAAAACTGTGTGTGCTAAAAAAGTGGTAGACAGCAGCTGCTTCAGAGCCATTGTATGTGCCTTTGTGAGTTTTTGGTATTCTGCAGTGACTTAGTTCTCTGTAAGAAAAAGTTAAGAAAATGCTAATAGCAAGCATAAGAGAGTAAATACATACTAGCATGAAAAGGAAGGGAAATAAGACACGAAGATATAATTTGTAAACCTAGACAAATTCAAAAGCACACAAAAATAGTGATTACACTGTCATTTCTAAACTCTTAGAAAGACTAAGAAGCAGTTAATTCTAATGCATGATCTGTCCAGTTACTTTAGGTGCAAAACTGAGGACTACCAGAGCATGCATCACACAGTCTCTTTCCTGCCTAGTACCAGAAACTGCATGCAAATTTTTCATTCTTTGTCTGTTTCTAAAGCACTTAAAAAGTTGCTCTTCACATGCCAGTTCAGTGGAAGCACAGTAATGTAGGAGAGCTTGCAAAGGGGCTACAGGGGCAGGCTGTCACCCCCTGAAGCTACTGGAAACAAACCCAGCCTGTCTTCAGTTCTAACACTATTGTAAGTGACACCGCTGGCCTACAGGGTACGCTACACACTCCTGCTGGGGTTGTCATCACAGTTCTACAGTTGTTCTTCTTGTATCTTGAAATATTGTATGATAATAGAGAGGAAATCTCTTCTTAGCCTCTTATATTAAAATGGCTGTGTTGCCATGTGTTTCTAGGAGAAAATACTTACAGAACCTGAATTAATATAGACATAAACTCTTCCTTCTTCTCTGATGGTACTTTGCATTGGAGCACCAACTAGCAAGTCTGAGAAGCCATCTGAATTCAGGTCCACAGCACAAACTGCAGCTCCAAAGTAAGAACCAAGCTGTGTACAAGCAAGAAATCATTACTATTTTTGAATTTTGATGAAGACGTGCTCAAAGTTATAAGGTGCAGAAAAGTAGTATGAAATATTTACCTTTTTACCTCTTAATTCAAATAGAATGTTTAGTTGCCTCTCAATGCTAAAAATGTAGGCCTAAAATGAAAAGAAAATACAAGTGAAGTTCAGCAAACTGTAATCTGAAATATTTTCCTCTGCTTTCTCTACAGCATGTGCTAGAGAATCACCAAAGCAAAACACAGTATCACAAGATACAGCTATTTACTATTTCCTATCTGTATCTTTCTTTAACACCATAGTTCACAACAATGTTATCTAGACTGTTTACCCTAATTCCTTCTTTTAACTTTTCTCCCAGGGTGAAGTCATACCTATTGGATACTTATCTCTAATATATTAATCTAAGTTGAAAAATCACGTGTGGTTTTGTGGGGCTATATTCTTCAAACCAATAGTATAGACAATCCCTTACTTTACCAGTCTGCTCCTGTTGGGGAGCCCCTCCAATTACTTCTGTACTGGCTGGTGTCAGAAAATGTCCAGCTCCAACAGCATATCCTGTAAATTAGAAATGCACTGTTCAGTACTGGAAATGCTACATAGAGAAAAAAAAGTGGGAGCATGCCACATAAAAGCTGTCAACACCACAGATCATTGTGAGTCTGACATTCGGACCTCATCTAAGTTAGCAACGAAAACAGAAAAGAAAGTTTTTGAAATGGAAGCAAAAGGTTAATACAAACATTATGTTTCAGCAAGCAGAAACAAGTGCCAGAAAGACTTTTTTTTTTCCCCCAGGAACTCAATTATCTGCCATACTTTAAAATCCAGTAAATTGCAAACACCTTCTTTTATTGCATATTCTGCAATTGTTCATTGAGTCCATATTGTAATACAAATAAAAACGACCAAAAGTCCATTCACTGCATGGTGGAAACACTTGATTCAATTGTTACTCTGGCTATCGTAACTGGACTGCAGCAAAATTATATGTAGTGCTACTTCTATGCATGTGCACATACACACACACACAGCACTGTGGACATACACAGGGAAATGTCAGGAACAAAGTGGAGCAACAGCCTGATTATGTATTAAGAAAACATTACATCAGCTTTTGTAAATGAATCTAGGTAACAAAGCATCGCTGTATGTGTAGACAGATTCTAAACAGGACCATATTTTGGTGCAGACATCCAGACATGGAATTGCAAAATGAAGGCTTAATGCCTTAACCTGTAGCTGCACAAGTTATCCTTACTCTTTCCAGAATACATTACAGATAAGTTGAAACTGGGAAGACAGTTAACATATTCTGCTACTCTTGCATTTACTGAATGACTGCTGATTTTCACAGCATGCAGAGAAACTGGAAAATCATCTTGGATCAGATGAGAACAAGCCTTGAATCTTCATCTGTGAAGATAACTGTACAGAATTCAAGTTCTCATTAAGCCATCATTTTCTTTTCATTTTTTTAAGTTAAAAAAGGTGAACAAAGCAATTTATCATTTAAAGGTCAACACCTAGTTTTTATTTATTTAACAAAAAATTAAGCTGAAACGGATGAACCTTAATTTACCTCCTCTGACACTTATTTTCTAGTTATTTTGGATTTGTTGAAGTGTAAACATTGGTAATTCTTAAGAATTTGAAAAAAAAAGCACCAAACAGACAAAAAAACCCCAGTAATCACATAGTCCTCACTTTTATTTAATGGTATTAAAATGTTTGGTGGGGGAGGGAAAAATCACATAATTGACCCTTTAAGGGCATAGATAAATGAAATTTTACTTTCAGCTCCAGAATTCTCTCATCTTTTCTGACAAACTTAGTAATGGTAATGTTATTTGCCATTCTCAGATTCCTAAAAGAAACTGTCTTTTACTCTGTGTTTTCTTTAAGGCAGTTTGTTAAGACTGACTTACATAGTTCCTTTTAAAGACATCAGTTATTAATCTCCAAGATACTCCGAAGTAGTCAAGGAAATACTACCAAGAGTTATGTATTACCAGCTTCTCTTTCTAACTTTCTTCTTTCTTTCAGTTGTCTGGTACATAAACAGCTTTATTTCCTCCAACTTATGGAAAATGTTATGATGCTTTTTCACTTCCTACAGTCTCTAGTTTCTTAATTATTACTTTTTGAGAGTTCAATGAAAAACATGTAAATAAAGACGTCGACTTCTCAGTCCTTGTCAGAAGAAGGACAGAGTAAGTAGATAAGTAGATAAGTAGATAAGATATGTCTAGTCATGTGCTTGAATTACACTTTTGTCACAATATTATTCCACCACTTGGCAGGGATATTTTTATTCATTACTTAAGGGAGAAGCAAACTCAGACTTTAAAAAAGATAATTTTGGTAAGAGAATTAGCCCTGAAAAGATTTTTGCCTTCAATAATTACAAAGATGGAACAGAGCAGAAGCTGAGGGAGGGGAAGGTAGGTACCTTTATGTTCTTTAAATCACATTATGTATTATTATAAGGGAACAAAGCAGAGGTTTAAGGAGCATGAAACAATGCAGAATTTAAGGTTTATCACAGCTGCTACTGTAGAGACACACAGATGAGCTAATGGCTCATTTCTTCACTTCCCTGTAGAAAGGCCAAGTTTAGAAGACACAGGGCTCTGCCGAGCCAATGTGTACCAGGTCACTAGAGATTTGTGAAACAAACTCCAGCTGATTTCAGGTCCTGGATAGCAAAGGAAACTAGAAGAGACCATAAATGTGCATAAAGGCCTTCCCTACACTCTCCCCAGCACAGTCCTTATACAAGCCTTTACCCATTTGCCTGTATCCGGCTTCTGGCTATCAATGATTTGACTCATTCATTACAGAAATTCTCATACTTGTAGGAGCAGAAATCCAGAATGAGTTTTTCCCCCCTGACAGGTGCAGTACTTTTTCTGCTGTTACTGGAAAGCTGAAGGAAGCATTCTCTGAAGTTTTTTTATTTGTCCTCTGAAAGGTTAGAAATGTTACTGGTTGACCCTACCGATCTGCATGTCTGATTACCTTTTACCACCCAGCATCTCTTTTGTTTGTCTTTCCTGCAGGGTCCATCGGCAGCCTTTGCAAGGCTCAGTACTGAATTCTGAAGTGTTAGTTAGCCATTCTGTATTTCATAATAGCTATTTCATAACATATGTCTACTTCCTATTGTCAAAGGAGTGGAATTAGAAACAGGAAATGTTTATCCACGGGAACCGGATCTATGAATGGGAAAATGCAATGGTCACAAGCAAAAATACCCTTGCTCAGGAGTTTGGGAACAACAGATGAGCTTTTCTGAGTGTGTAGTGAGAAGACTGAAGCTGCTGATGGTTTTTGGCATAAACCTTTCCAAATGGTAGCACTAAATTCAGCTAATTACTTGGATATAGGTACATGAGTAGGAATCTCATGGCCTTCTTTGCAGACATTGATAGACAAAATTTGCCCTTCCACGTATCCAGACCGAGATAGGGTTGAAATAAAAAATAAAAAATCACAATTGCAGGCAAGTTTGTCTCTAAAGATCATAGCATACTTCCCCTTATTGACAATGCAATTAAGACTTGCTTGCAGCTTTCACTGTAACAAACTTTCCATATTTCTGTTATATGTGAAATCATTGTCTTTTTCTATGAAAGCCCTTTTTCTATGAAAGCAGCATTTCAGAGTTAAGAGTGAAGTGCAAACCATTACTAAGCATAAGCACATCTCTACCTTCTAAATCAAGAGATGATTAAAATTCAGTGGAGAGATGATAATAACAGAAATCCAGTGTTTGAGAAGTTTCCTTGTAGAAAGAGCAGAGAGGAAGTCTTAAAATAATATTTAACAAAATCAGAATACATTTTTACAACTGTCACTTCTGGGATTAATAATGAAAGCACTGAAAATCACTGTGCACTCACTTCAAGACCAGTTATTTAGCTTATGTTTTTGTAAAGTATAAAATATTTTAAATACCTAGATAACTGCCAAATTTCACTTGGTTATTTGAATCTGTGTACGCATGGATTGTATTCGCAGTTGTATTGTATACAAAAACAGAACCTGTCCAATAAAATGATCCAGGGGCTCCCATTATAATTAAGTCCTAAAAGAAAAGTAAAACAGAGCCATGTTATTGACATATAAATATTCATGAAAATAAGCAAAACAAATCAAATGCTTTTCTTTAGATCTCCTTTGAATTCTACGAAATGTTACTGGAGATGTATCTGGCTCAGTGCTGGGGTTCACCACTAGATTACAGAAAATATTTTCCAGACTTTCTAAAAATACAGTTATTAAAAGCTTTGAGCTGTAACAAAAAAACAGAGTAATAAACTAGGATATTCTCTTCTCAAAAGAGTTTTTTTTAAATTATAATCTTAGGGTGGAATGGAGATTGAATAATATAGAATATGACTCTGTAAAGCAAGAATGTAAGCACTGAATATTAATATTACATCAAACAGACTAAAGAGAATAATAAAACTTCATGCTCTGCTGTATTCATGCTCTTTTTCCAATGAAAAGTAATTTTGGATTTAGTACAATATAAAAGTATTCTTGCGAATAAAAAGTAAAAGTCTTATTTGGGAATTATCATGTAAATCTTAACAACATTCAATTTAAAAGAAATTAGAAAAGTGATTTTTCCCTCCCACAGTAAAAGACAGTGTTGATATTTGCATTTACAGATACACTTTTATATATGTATACATATAAATAAGTAAATAAATAGAGAGAAGTTTGGTATCTTTAACACACACCTCAATATAAAAACTAGAAATTCCAGCCTGGCATGACCCATAGTTTTCTCCAAACTTTCGTGCAAAATCTGTAAATGGGCAAGAATATTAAAAAGCATGAGAAACATGTAGTTTCACACTTTTTTACCAGGTCTTCTACAGCAGTTGAAACAACGTAGAAAACAAAAACCTCCCCAGCACCTCCCCCCGCCACCCCCTCCAAAAAAAAGAAGTTGGTTTTCAGTTGTGTAAGAAAACTAAAACCACTGGTTTCCACTATATAGCCTTTAGCTGCAATATAGTATTGTAACAAACTCAAAGCACTATGTATCACTTGATCACACTTGCCTTTGAAATACTGTGACTTTAAAGACTATACCTTTCTTTTAAAAGTGAATGAAACAGCACTAATAGTTTGAGCACCACATCTGGATAAACTTAACTCCTCCACTCTGAAATTTACATGAGCCCATAGTCTGACTGACAGGTTTATGTATCTTCATAGGAGTTGCCCTGATGCTCCCCTAGTGACATGAAGGGCTTGTGTTATGGCTGTCTTAGACATATTGGTATCTACCATCCTTAGCAGTTCTATTTACATCCAACACTCTCTCCCAGCTCTGTTTTCCTGTAATTCTTTGCTAACTGCCTTCCACCAGGGTTCCCTTCATCTCCTGCACGGATCTGTACACTTAAAGTCTCTGAAGATAAAAGTATGATTTCACCAACACATGCAACAGTCTCCAAAGCCAGCAGTGGGACATTTGATGGCAATACTCTGTCTGCACAGTAAGGCCAGATTGTCAGCTGATCCTTGCATTGGCAAGGAACAGGGTCATGAGATTGTTCTCCTGGATGGGAAGTAGAGAAAGGGAAGGCATGGAAGGCATGGATAGAGTCATCTGATATCTTCAAGTCATGACTCTTACTCTGCTCCTGAGGTCCTCAGAGGAAGAACCAGTGAAGGTCTCATGCCACAGCAGCATCCTCGCCAGAAGGCAAGTAAGGAAAAGGACATGCACTGTGAGGAGGCACCACAGCATCTTTGTATCAAAGGATAAGGAGCAGATGGCAACAATCACTTGCAGGTATTTCTGTTGCTCTGCTGTGTGACTCTCTTGAGCAGAAAAAGCAAATGACAAGAGTAAAGGAAGGGAGGATGTCCTCTACTGGCCTGTTTTTGAGAAGGGCATATCCTTCAGTGATCCAGTTCAGAGAGAAAGAATTCTGATGCCCTGCTTCAATTGATTTTTTGCCTGTTGAAAGCAGTTTTTCTTGAAGTGATAAAGATCTTGCTAATAAATTTGCATCATAAGCTGAGCTCATATCATCAGCACTCAATCTTCAAATCTTTGCTGCAGAATGCCTGCTCAGAGCCACACAGGCTCTTCACAAACTCTGCATCATCCAGTTATACATCTCTCCCTTCCCCACGAAAGGACCCAAGCATTCCTCTTACCAATATAGCAGGGGCATATTCTTCTGCTCAGTTCAGTTCGAAAGTCAGAAGACATGGCAAAACAAATACCATGTGGAAGCTTGTGTTCATTTTTCATGTAAAATATATTTTTCCATCTATGTCCACAAGCCTGTAGATATAAAACAAACATGACATTTGCCACGGAATCATAAGGAAGGTGAATGCAATCTGACAGACAGAAACGCAGATCCAGTGGTTGATACATACAACGATAGATCCATTTTCTTTTGGTTGCCTTGACAAGCTGACACCCAGCCACTGATTATCACGCTCTTCCAAACAAGTCTTCCCACAGGACTCTCCTCTGGGGTTGCCTAGGATACAAAGACCAATGCTCTGAGCAGAGGGACAAGGTGAAGAGCCATGTGGTGGGTAACAGGAGCATCCAAGAACTCCATGGGGACATTGCAGGAATTTGGATTTGGTGGATGTGATCTTTGTCTTCCATAGGTCATGTAGACTTTTTATTTTTTTTTTGAACAAAGGTACAATTGCATATAGCCAAAGGGATCATACTGGCTCTGAGCCAGATAGGTTGGCAGTGAGGATCATTATGAAGATAGAAAGTGACATTACATTCAATTTTGGTGAAGGGCTGGCTTTGTAAGTGTTCTTCAGCCTAAAAGTTCATAAGAAACACAAGTAATACCCATGAATGCTACCTAAAATCTAGCCTAAAGCAAGCATCTCTCCAACTGTGTTTCTACTGGAAGCAGACAATCTCTACTGCTAATGGCTGTCAAATAAAGGGTGTATAACTGCAGTGTCTACTGGGGATGTCAGATCATTACATATGTATGTCCTGTGTGCTCCTTGCACTGTTGCAATTATTTAGCAGCAGCTTTTTGTGTTTGTTCTTAAGGAGAGTAATTTCTAAAAATGTTAGAGAACATACTAAAATTTCTTCTATCTCCGCTTTCCTCTCCTTCCCCCCCCCAAAAGAGGGAGAAGGCTACAGTATTGCCAAGTTAGTAAATATTTGCTTTCTTCTGGAAAGAAGTAGTGTAAAGATCAAGAGAGGCTACATATTTATTCTGAGTTATACAAAACTTTTCATTTGTAAGATGTTTGCATGACTGAGCATTAATCAAATTATTGAATTGGTATTTTCTATGCATCACCATGACAGTTTATGAAAAAACCTTCCTATAAAATAAGGAAACATATTATGTCATTTGAACAAGTTCTTTTGTATAATTTTTAAGACCTTCCCAGATTCAATTCAGTTACTAGTAAACCCAAAACTTTTGAGGTTTAAGGGGTTTACCCAGAAGGGGGCGACCAATGCTGACGGGTACATTGTTTTCGTGAGGAAAACAACCTTTAATCACCCTCCCTCTCCACAAAACAAAACAAACAAACAAACCAAACAAAGAAACAAACAAAACAACTGCTCACAGCAGAGCTGAAATTTATTATTGTCCAATCCATTAGAGAGTTTACAGGAATACACTCCTAATTTAGTGGACTTGCTCACTTTACAGGACATAAAACTGCACAATATTAAGTATGGAAACAGAATAAAGGGATACACCTAATCTATTCAGTAACCAGGAGAAAGATGAGAGACTGTGGGCTTTGCTACATATATTCTCATAGCCAACACTGACTAAGATGATTTTATACTTAGGATGTCATGGACTTTTTGATAGAAAATATTAGGTTAATGGAATTGAGATAATTCTTCATCAAACATTTGTAGGAGTAAGACCTAACAACCATCCTTATTTCAGAGCTTGTTCCCTACTGTTTTATGACAGGCCTAGCCATTGACATTTGTCTGAAGAAAGTGCTGGAGCCTTGCTTTCTCCTACTCCCACACTACCCCTCCACTTTTTCCAAACATCACGCTTTCTCCCTGCTTGGATAGGGAGACCAATAGTGCAACCCAGAACACCTCACGACACTGCAGAAAGGATGACGTACCCTGCACACAACTGTACTCTACCTTCTTCCAAAAACAACACTCTTCACAGGGTCAAGAGGCACCTGACCCTCCTTCATCTCTTCTTTACTACTTCCTCCAGCACGTGCCTTGCCCTAAGACATCAAGGAAATAGTATGCAAAATCCAAGTAAACAGGAAATGACCTTAGTACTCACAATAACATCAAATTCAATTGTCTTTGGGCCAAGAGATTTTATATTACCATAATTTAATAATTCCTCTAGGTCACCTAGGGAATTAACATGTGGGCTCTTCTTCCAAGACAAGCACAAATTAAAATGCACTTCTAAAATCTACTAAAAAGAAGTTGATTTTTCTGCAAGTTCTCTATTACTGAGGATTAAGTGATGAACTTTCAAAGTATCCTTCTTGGCTAATGTCAGTGAACTTCCATGTACTGAATATATACCACTTTTCAGAAGCAAGTTTGGAATTTAGTTTTGGAATTTAACTGTGGAGTTATGTCATGTAAATCTTCCCACTTCCTAAGGGAGACATTTCCATAGTCTGCATGAATTATAGAGCATGTTAATCTGATTGAAACCTCCTCAGAAAACAAAACTCCATTACACTCCCATGTGTAATGTCCTATCCTCCTTTAAATCACAAAAGGTACTTCTGGTAAATCCCTTCTGGCACTGCATTCCATCCTCTTATGACAGTGACTTTCTTGGGACTTGCTTCGTATGTGCATTTGCAGGAGATGGAAGAATTAGGGAAGACCAGGGTAATACATTTAAATCTCAAGAGGCTTTCTGAGACTTTTTATCAGTAAATCAAATAGAACCAGACAAGGATGACATGAGAGATGAGGAAGTTTGGCTTGTCTCAGTACTTCATTCCTGTGCCTGTTTCAGAGGTTTGTAAGAAGAAAAATCACCACCATTCGTGCTCATTGGATTGTATTCCCCCTTTCCTTGGCTCCGGTATAAGTTGATTTAGGCTCACTTTGGCCCTCTGTTGACCTGCTGCCTTATGTCTCCTTTCTTTCTCTGACTGGCAAGTATTCAACCACCTTGAAAATTATAGGCCTTTGTGGGAGAGAGAAGTGTGAGCTCGACATCCCAGACTCCATGATGAGTCCCTGCTCAGGGTATGACATTATAAAAGCTCTACCAAATGAAAAAATTCAGTATTCTGCACAAGCAACAGAGCAGCGCTGCATAAGCTCAAGAGGACATGGCAGCTTGGTTGCCTCAGGGAAAAGGAACACGTGCTGTCATAAAGTCACTGAGAAATAAGTAATTGCCCAGCCTATGTACATCACACAGCTGGAAGATACACTTCTGCTATAATCCCCACTGAACACATCCACAGAAACACTACAATCACATATAAATAAGGTCACAACTTACAAAGCCACTTCTAGCTTTGGCCTCAAGGACTATAATACAGATGTTTGCAATGTCATCTGAGAAAACAGTTTTATACAACTTGCTCCAGTGTTTTCCATGCCCAACAGCTTCCCACGATCCTTTTTATCCTCCAATAACTCCTCTGGTCCTGTTGCTAACTGATGAAAACTGTGAAGTCTACTGCAAAGACAGTAAGCCTTCTGATATTCTGCTCCTACATGTCAGGGCCTCATCGGTCTTTCTTTCACTTGCCCAGAGAAATTCTCTCTCTTTTCATAGATCTGATAGGTCTTATTCCTCTTACATCTCTCAAATGACTTTTACCCAAAACATTTTTAAGTGACACCTGTTTCAATACTTCTGCAACAGTCCTAGGTCCAGAAGGTCCCATGTTCCTTGGAATAGTATGGCTATTTGAAAGGAGATCACTGGCAGGGTATGAGCAATGCAAGTGAGATAAAAAAGCCAAGCTATCAAAAGCCAAACTTACCGAAATCAATATTGAACAAACACAGGTCAGCCCTTTGGGGAAAACCATTAACTGTTCGCTTTTCCATTGTAATGATTCAGCTGGGGGAGCTAGAGGGCAATTTGTTCATAGGTTAATTACAGCAGAGCCTTAAAGGAAGGGTGCAAGACTGAAACTGCAGGCTGAGGTTCCTGGCCTTATGTTAAACTGCATGCACCGAATTTACTGTATACATTTGTAGTTAAAACTTTTTTTTTTTTTAGACTGGGTGGCAAATTGCATAAATTGTTTTCTATATATTTTAGCCAGTGAATCCCACTGTTTCAAATCTGAGAGCAATGTTGTTGGAAAATTTCTGTAATGTTTTGTAAGTCCAAAATGCAATAGGTCAAAACATCTAAAGAATTCTGTGTAAATTCCTCTGCAATAATCTGTGACTACCCTAAACTAATATGGGCAAGGACTTGAAATTCAAGACTAGAAGATAAGACACTCAGTGCTCCAAGTAATAAACTGAACATGAAGCACTGTATTTTGTACTTGTGCCTAGGGTTTGATTACAAGTCTCTGCACCTAACATAAGCCATTATTTAAAAATACTGCAAATGCAAATAAATCTGAAGAATAGAACATTTGACACCCTAGCCAGAAGTACTAGAACCGGGAAAAAACCTCTTAAAACTCCTCTATTCATTATTTGAAGAGAAATTTAAAAGTGCCAGTGAGGGGCTGGGAAGACAAAGACTTGCTAGTTATCTCATGGCTCCTTTGGCTCTTAAACCAGGTCAGGCCCCTGCAACACCTTGAACAACGTGAATGTTCTCCGAAGTATGTCTGAACGAGTTATCCCAGATACTGTGATGATTGCAGCAACTCTTTCGCAACTAAGAAAGCAGATAGAAACATGTGACACAAAAAAATACAACAGCAGTTTTGTGTGATCAGAGGCTTTGTAATTTTGCGTAAATCCTACATTAATTAGTTATGCCAGTTTCAAGGCCACTTTAGTGAAATATAGCAACAAAATGGTTTAACATATTTATGTCTCTAAGTAATTAACATCCATTCAATTACAAAGGCCCAACATTTGGAAAGCCACTACTATTGCCTGTTGTCACCTCTACATTTCTATGACTTATCCAAAACTTACTATCTCAAAAAACTTACTTTTCCTAGAAAGAAATGTGAATTCAAGTATTTAAGAGAGAAGTAGAGCCCGTCCAGCAATGATTCCATACATTTTCCAAAGAAAATTACTCTGTTTTATAAGATCAGAATCCAAACTTGGCATTAGCAAGAATCCAAGCAGAAAAACTGAGGTCACTGGCTTAAAGACTCAGCATTGATAAAACCATCATGTCCAAAAGTTGCTGACAGCCTGAATGAGTTAGACAAGAGATAATTAAGTTCAGTTTTGTAATTGCAAGTTCCCTTCTGCATTTCTGTGACTGCTCAGCAGGATGGCAGAGGTTTAACCACCCTCAGATACTATCCCACTTCATTTACATCCCATGCACCACAGCTGCCTTTGGCTTCTTTATTGACCTCACTGACCTGTTTTACAATACAGCACTTCTTTTCAGTATCTATTTATCTTCAGAAATACTATAGATGAAACGTGGCAACGTAAAGATGCCATCTAGCACTAATGGAATCCTTAAATTTGGAAATATCTGGTGTGGTATCACCAGTTTTTAAAGAAGTGCAGGGCAGAACAGTAAACTACATTGTGTAACCTGCAGCCTCTAGACCTGGGAATAGAGGCCATGTTAAATTAAGCCTTTGGAACCACAAACATTTTCATACATCTGTTGCATCATTTCATTTAGAATCCCCTAAGCTACTGAGGAAAAGCCCATCAAATTACTTCTTTAGAGCTTTTGTTTCTCCACTGGCTAAATAAGTAAGACGAGAAGTACAGCAGATGTATGTAGTTTTGAAAGAACCTGAAACTTTCAATCCTTCCTTTCCTTCCCCCACACTCTGAAGGACTACTTTTACCTCCAATCCAGGAGCAGGGGTTTATTGCCTCCTAGCATATGCTTCTTCACCTCTTTAGTTGACTTCCTCAACTTTTTGCAAGCCTCTTCTTACAAACAAGCAGTTGGAGAAAAAAAGCTCTTTGTTATATATCTTTTCTATTGATCTAATATTGGAACGATATTACTCAAAAAAAACCCCAAACAATTATTTGGGCTGTTCTTGCTAGTAACAACTGCTTGTCTTTTTCTTATGTGACTACAAGTAAAGCACCACTGAAGTATCTTAGGTTTTTGTAGCTCAGTTACAAAAAATAACTTCTATTAATAGTAATATAAAATAGGCACAACCCATCAGTTCTAAGCTTTATGCACAGATGTGTAGAGAAATAACTGTTTTAACATTTTTGTCATGGAATGCTGCGTTCTGCCCTGAAGGCCCATCAGTTCATGGCGCGCAATTTGAAAGCTCCTTCTCGCGCTTCTTATCCTTATTGGGCGGCACGGTCATAGATCTAACGGATCCAATGGTCTTGGTTGCAGCAGGGTAGGAAGTTCAGGAAACTTTCTATGCATAGCGTAAGGATAGAATGAATAGCAAGGCCTCCAAGGGTAACAGGAAGAGAGCCTAAAGCAATTCACACGTGTTCATATTAACCCATTGCAAAGCCTTCTCCTTTTTAAAAAGTATCAACCACTTGGAAGTTGGATAAGTGCATCCAGTTACATCTCCAAACTATGGAGGCTGCAGAGGTAGAGAGGAGTTAGGTTAAATGCAAAAGCTGGAAAAACTGATTCAGTTAAAAATTGCTTTATTCCCCTGAAAATCACTTTTTCAACAAAGTTGCAAGCAGGGAGACAACTGTGGTTCAGAGTTACTTTAGGGTGACTTCTATGAAGGGCAGGCTTTGCAGAAGAAAAGATGATTCGCGTACATACTTAAACTCCTCCATTCCTGAGCTAATTGTATCCGGTCCCTGCTCCGAAAGCTGCACTAGCTCTCTCGAGCAGTACGGGAGTCGGACAGAACCTCTCACGGGACTTTTGATCCGCACGCTCAAAGGTGCGAAACACGGCTGTGGGAACGGGCGCTGTCACACCCAACTTCTCCCAAGCGAATTTTGGTGCACGTTTTCTGTTTTGATGCCGCCGTTACTGCCCTTTGGCAATAGCGCTGATCTCGCCCTGGAGCGAGAAGCAAACCCCAGTTTAACCCGGGGAGGACCCGGCACAACCCGCCCGCAAGGCAGCGGCGGAGGAACCGCGGTGAGCGCAGGGCGGCGGGCACCGGCCCTCCCTGTCCCGTCCCGTCCCGTCGGCAGCGGGGCCAGCCCTGCCGCCCGCCCCGCGCCGGCCGGGGGCTCCCCGCCCACGACTCACCCAGCTGGAGCTGCTCGCACTGCCCGTGGGGGTTCCCGCCGATCCGGCACCGGAAAATGGCCCCAGGGTTGACCACCGAGGTGTTGGCGGGCCAGGTGGCCCGGGGCGCGCCCGCCACCAGCCTGCGGGGCAGAGACGGCAGCGTGAGGAGCCGCGGCCGCGAAAAAGAGCGACCGGCCTCCGCAGGGGCAGCCGGGCCGGGGACTCACCATCGCTCCTCGCCGTGGCCGTGCAGAAGAACCGAGAAGCCAAAGAGGGTCCCGTTGCCCCCGCGGAAGAGCAGCGCGTGCCGGGTGTCCAGGTTGTAGGGCCGCGCCGTCGGCAGGCACTGCCACAGCAGGAGTAGCGGGGCAGCCCAGCCCGCAGCCCCCCGCGTCCTCTCGCAGCTCCGCATTGCTCCGGCCGGCCAGCGGCACACGGGCGCCCAGCGCCGGCTCCCTCTTCTCTCCGCTCCCCGCTCGGCGAGAGCCCCGCCCTGCCTTGCCCCGGGACGCCCTGCCCTGCCTCTGCTGCCGCGGTGGCCGGGGCGATGTCCCCGCTGCCCGGGGTGGGGGTGTCCCCTCCGGATGGGGGAGTCGCACAGCCGCGCCGCCGCCTCCTCCCCCGCGGCCGCAGCCCCTCTCCCTCCCCAGGCGGTAAGGGTCGGGTTTCTCCCCGCCCCGTCCGCGCCCAAGGTGGGCGCAGCGGAAGGGGCACGGCTGCCGAGACCCCGCGGGCCCGGTCAGAGCACGGCACCGTGCGACGCGGCCATCCCGATCCCGGCGGGATAGAGAAGGGGGCGGCTCCGCTCGCCTCACCTCACCTCGGCACACCTGCCCGTGTGCCAGGCCGGTAGAGGGGAAGGGAGAGCCAGCAAGCTTGTCCTGAAATCTCCCTCCGCACACTGGCCAGGCAGCTCCACTCAAGCGCAGGACCGTTTTCTGGGAACGGAACTGTGGAGAGGATTGAGTTTTCCTATCAGATTTAGGAAAAAATCCTAATATCCTACTGTCCCTAAGCCTTAACCCCACTGTCGCCGTGCTGACGGGGTCTTCCTTGCCCTCCCCCGGTGGGGGGTATTTTACTCCTGAAACCAGTGCCACAGCAGTGGAGCAGAGTCAGCTTTGCCTACCCATGTTGCACAAGACTGCTCACTGCTGATGGCTCCTTCCTTCTGGATGGTATGAAATCAGAACAAACCCCCATTGCTTCTTTTATGTTTTAGAGTAACTTTTTCACTTTCCTGGTCAGCCCTTCAGTTGCTGACAAAGTTACCAGCCATGCCTTCAGACAGTATGGAAATAAAGGAAAAGGAGCATTGAGGAAGAGATCTGGTATTTAGCTGGCCTTGGAAGGGTTCCCTTGGTCTGTCTTAGTGAGGAGCTTTACTGTGCATGTTTTCAGCAGATCAATCACTGACTCTTGATTTAGCGCACACTGAAGTGTGTGCATCCTGAAATTGACTCTGTTACTCCTATGTACAAACCTTGCCTTGTTGAAGTCCTTTGAATACCAGGACTTCCCTGTTGCTCTAATCCCTGTATATGGATAACCTACATATAATGGTATTTTGAACCTGAGGAACAAGAATGGAAGTACTTCTTTGAAATGAAAAATTTACTTGCAAAGAGTACTTACTGTACCTGGAATAAAATCCAGTATGATTACAACTATTGAATATTACACACATTAGAAATTAACTGGGAGATGGTAGAAGTGTGGAAAGCTTAACACTTCTGCAAAATGCCAAGCAACTACCAGAGCAGGGCACTGAGGCAATGCAGGAGTGAGACATCTTTGTCTTCCTGAGTGCATGCAGATGTGTAGCTCCTGGAATGAGATCAGCACTCTGCAAGATCAGACAGTCAGTCAGTAGCATATCTTTTTTTAAGTCCTCATCTCTAGAGCCATGAGAAGGCTTCCCTGGATGACACTGATGTGGAGCAATGACTGTTGCATGTAAAGGAATCAAACAGCTTCTCAGCTGCTATTCATCTTCCTTCCAACTACTGACATCAAAGGAGTTAAAACAATCAACAGCAGCTGTGAATCTGCATTTCTACCACTCAAGTTTTCACCCTCATTTTCAAAGCAGCAAAACAAGCATGATTCAAAACTGAAATGCTAAATTGTGGTTTAGTTGGTGAGAAATTGTAACGTGGTTGCACCACCACCCCAACCATTTAGCCAGTTTTGAGTGTCTTACAGGCTTTTCTGCAAGAGATTGTTACAGTTCCTGGATTCATTTCTTAATTAAGAACAAAAATGGACCCAAAGCCCTATCCCTTGAGTGACAGACAAGGGGACAGTTTTCCAGACTCCTTTTCCCTTGCAAGTTTATGTCTTAAATAGCTCTACTCTTTCTACTCTTTCTCAAGACCGGTCTTAAATCTACCACTTTACAAAAAGCTGATGCAGGAACCATGCAACTGCATTCGTTTGAGGGATCTCTTTGCAGCTGTGTTTCTAAGCATTTGGGTGAACCCACCCTAAACCTCAATTGTGAGGTTGGTTCTCACACTCTGTGTTGTAGCTTATCAATGAGTATGGCAAGGGGTAAATGTGTGCAAGCTGCTTATGGCATTCAGAGAAAAATTACAGCCTGTTGAGATCCCTGTTACTGGGAGTTTAGGAAGAGAAAGGCACTGCTGAAAGTTGTAGCAACTTTGTAGAACCTCCAGTCTAATGGCTTCTGAGGGTGTTGAGATGGTGGCAGGGTTCCTAGCCGACAGGAAAAGGTAGATTGTGGGATTCAGTTACAGACACATAAATAGCTGATTATCAGCTATGATACAAACTTGAGAACTGCTTTCTACCTCATCTGTCAGAAGGAAATGTGCCCGTTGCCTCCTTTTGCTAGAGTGAATGTGATCATGATCCACCAGGCATCAATAAAATAACTGGAAGATAAATCTATTGGAGAGTGAGAAATCCATATTTTGAGAAATATCTGAGGTTTTTAGTATCTCAGATGCATGTGCAGGTGAAGGACCAGTCAGAGAGCAAAATCAGTGCAAACTGACAATATGGAGTAACAGAACTTGGGTTTTATTAGGGATTAGGAGAACTTGCAGAAAAGGGGGAACCAACACTGGCAGCCAAGTACCTATATTTACAAATAAAATATATATTTATATATACATATATATATATGTATAAAGTTACCCTGAAATAATACAAAGAAATTCCCAAAACATCTTCCCACTATATAATTAGAAATGCACATCTCCCACAGTTGTCTGCGAATTAATAACACTAGAAGCAAATTATCACAGTGACTTGCTCTGGCATTGGTTCACCATCTAAGGCAAGTTCAGAGGAGCCATTGGAATTGATCATATTGGTCCACAGTTCAGCAGCAGCTTTATAGCAGATGAGTGCACCTCATCTGACTGTCCTCATCTCTTGCTGCTCATTCTTGAATCATACTGCTGCCTCTGTTACCCTCATCCTGTTCAGTACCAGAGCAGTGAACCAGATCAGAGAAGTGATCTGGGTTAAAAATAATCCAGCAAAACCCCCAAACCTAGGTCAGATTTGTAGCTTGTATGTGTGGCTGGCCAGCTGTATTGGTTGTATTAGTAGGGTGGTTTAAACTGCAACTTTAGGAACTTTCTCAGGCAACAGCCTTAAATTTCTAGAAGTAGCAAGAGTCTGCAAAATTAAAACCTACACATCTACCTTAAATTGGAGCAGCAATCCATTTCCCCAGCCTTGGTCTCAAGGATCATTGGAGCTCAAGGATCTTTGTCCAAATATTTTTCTGCCTCAGTCCTGAGGGGTCCAACTTTAAAAAAAACTGTATTAGATAGAGTAAAATGGAATTACTGGTTCATAAATGCCAACATCATGTGAACAAGGTAACCATGCAGTTCTATAAAAGGTCATATACTATCCTTCAAGATTTAAAATTTCAAATGCAATTATGAGATAGTAACTATTGCTGAGATTTTGATTTGTTAGTTTTTGCATTTGGGAGGAGTATGAGAGAAAGTTGCTGGGAAAACAGAACAGACAAAAAATTTAGTTTCCCCATAGCTGTTCAGTTTGGGAAAAGCATTGTTTACCTGTAATACATCCCCTTGCTAGTGAGAAGAAGGGAAAGAAAATCACTGTAGGAAGAACATAATGATTCTGAAAGTCTGTCACTAGCTTTTTTCTGTGGATCCTATACTACTCCCTTTTTGATTCCCTAATTTGGAAGGCATTTGTATTAAATTAGGTTCTGTGTGTGGGCTGCTGTTGAGTAACTGATCACATGACTGCTTTTGCTCTGTTGCAAACACATGAAAGCACATGTTCCTAAAAGTCTTCATGGATATGCCTGCTTTCAGCTGTGCCTGTCCTTGGTCTCCTGTATGTCATGTAAGCCCACTGCTGCTTATAAAAGAGTACCTCCAAATCTACTCTCAATTAGAAATAAAAACAAACAGTAGATGTGTTCCCGTTCCTAATTAGAAAGAAAGTTTTATTTTTAAATTGTCTAAATACTTAAATATAGGTATTTAAAATTTAAAGTTTCTAAACCTTTATGATTTAACAAAACATGGGAAATCTAGGGTTTTGGTCAGACCATAACTATGTCTTGTTTTTCCTGTAACCTTCCCTCCGGACACCCTGCAACAATGGCAGTGGGCCATAAAGTCTATTATTCTTACGCTGTCATCTGAGAAATTATAGAAGGCAAATACACTTTTACACTTACCCCTAAGGTTCTCTTCAAGAAACTTCATTTTCTTTCTGCTGTATGATACATGCGAGCTTGCCTGAAGAGGAAATATTGTCCACTGACAAGTATAATTAAGCACAGATGTCTGAGGCACCAAAAAGCAGCAAATGTTAGTGAAGGTCCTAATTTTATAATTTTGCTTATGTTCTCTTTACAAATCTGAATTTAATTTAGAATCAGTTAAAGAGGAACAAGCTTCTAGTTTAATCAGCACATATCGTCACGCTCACGTGATGTCTACTTAGGAAATATTTTAAAGAAGTTTTTTCCTCCCATGAACACTTATGCTGCTGAAGTAAAGACAGACTTCCCAGAAGAGCTTTCCAATATTTAAACATTTAATAGTGTCATACAGACAATTACTATGGCAACCTGCCTAGGAAATGCAAACAATAGCTCATTATAGTTAACAGCCGCTTAACTAAGAACTGCATTTTGATTTACAGATTGGTAAGACCAGAAATTAATCATTATATATGTATGTATGATTAATGCATTGCACATCTTTTTTTCTTCCTTAGAATTTTGTCTAAAATTTTGGAGTTGCAAAAGCAGATGCAACTAAACTACTAGTTTAGATTGAAGTTGGGCAATAACTCCTCCTTTCCCATCTCTAGGGAATTGCTGATCTTTTAAAACTTTCCCATCTGAAATTCAAACAAAGAGTGTTTTCATGTACCATCTCT